GAATCTAGGGTAAGTGTACTTACAAGATAGAAGCTTGATTTGGTGTTTAAGGTCCAAGAACACTAGTGTGTGTTCTTGTTGTTTTGAAGAACACTTGAAGATCTATCTATAAATCAATAATGAATGGATGAAATGATGTATAACTACTAGATGTTAGGTTATAACAACAAATCAAGTCGAGAAACACTTACGTTTTCGGAAGATCGGATGAAGAACGGGATGATAGTTGAGAGATAATAGAGGGTGTTCTTGAGAATGGAAGTTAGAAATGAAGAGTATGGGGAGTAAACTCATGCCTAAGGCATGAGTTCACGGCCATGGGAGAGTTTACGACCCAAACTCCAAAAGTTTGGTCGTGAACTCTTTGTTAGGGTGCAATGGGTGGGTTTGCTACTTCAAGACCCGAGACGGTACTTCCTTTCCTTCGTTCGTTTAAAGAATAAACACTAAAAACACTCAAAAGGACTTTTAAATTGGCTAACAATTATTAGAAATTTAATTGACTTTTACTTGAAGTGATTAAATTTAGAGTTTGTCCGAATGAAAATTTCGGGTTGTCACACACACACACACACACACATACATATATATATATATATATATATATATATATATATATATATATCAGTTTTCCTATCCTAAATACTTCTACTCAAAAATCATCATCTTTGTTTCGCTTTGTTGAATGGATGTAATGGAAAAACAATCGTATGCATGTTTAACAAATGTTATGTAATGGACACCTACTTGAAATATGTTTCTTTCCCATTTGACAGACTCCCCTATCACATACTTGCAAATTGATTATATGACATTATCGCTTTAAACAAAAGTAAAATTTTCTGTTGGACTAAAAAAATAAATATAACTAAAATAAAAAAATTACACACCACTAGAACCTCGTGTGACAATCGACCAGTCCACTTTAGCATATTAACTATTCTTATAAGTTATAAGTAGAGACATAGGACAACACACCACCTGAATAGTAAATAATACAACTTGGATATGGATATTGTTGTCCGCACCTTTACCCTGAATCCAACTCAAAGTTCTCGATTATATATAAGATTCCCAACATCACATCCTCTTATCCACCATATAACCCTTATCAATACAAAACCAAGTCCTCCATGAAGAACCAAACTGTTATCACCGTCCTTTCCTCGCTAATCAGCTACCTACGAGAAATACATGATCTCGTTGAAGTAGCACAAACCAAACTTATAGAAGGTTTCATGATGGACAACAACTCTTATAACATCATTTCCACACACAAAGAACACCCATACTACAAGTTCCTAAAGAAACTCCTTCAAGATGCAAGCGATGACAACCTATCAATGGAGGACAACATAGCTTTCATGCTTGGATGTATCCAGAAAAGAATTGGGAATTATAACTGTATAATAAATGATCAATAAATCGGTTGTAAACGATAGTTGATGCCATGCTTATCATCTATGCTAATAAATTAAGCTTTTTATGTTGTTTCCTTTACCGTTTCTAATCCCTCAACGCGAGGTTCTTCTTTTTTTCTCTAGTTTATAACAAAATTTAAAGTTTCTGTCAAATTCGTAACAAAATTTTAAAACATTAATAAAAAATATAAATTTGAAAATTACATGTTGGAGGTGGAAATATAAAATATAAAATGTTACCTTTAATGTAAAAATCTCACCAATCTCAAAACTAAAGTTAAAAGGAAAAAAAAATCATTTGTGAATGCAACGTCCCGAAAATCCAAGGTAAAATGTTCATTTTTAAAACATTAATTCATATAACAATTTGTTCCCCAAACCATGTAAGGTGAAAAATAGTATTTAAACATCAGAGTAAAAGTTATTAATGCGGACTAAACTATGGGTGAATGTTGTGCAGTCACGTCGGCCTCTTTCCTCTCGCACTGGAAGTACATGAAACCATAATCATGAAATCGTAAGCACAAAGCTTAGCGAGTTCCCTAAAATACCACATACCATATATATCATTGCGCCTAGCCCTCATATTGGGCCCAACGTATAATAATGGGCCTAGCCCTTACTAATCAATGTTCCCAACCCAGCATACAAATAGGTTTAACCCTTCCTAAACAATGGGCCTAGCCCATCATACAAATAGGTCTAGTCTGTCATACCATAGGCCTAGCCCAACATACAATGGGCCTAGCCTAATACAAAATGAGCCTAGCCTGACATACCATGGGCCTAGTTTGACATACAGATGCAAAAGTCACGAAGACAGCTAGCATCGTACATAACATACCTTAGTGGGTTGGCATTGGTGCCTTCGACCCACAGATATAAGGAGGAAACTCACATGAATCACAAACCCGACTAACACTCAGCTCAAAGCCACGCAACCGCCACTACATCACTCCTATTACAACATACAAGGTCCAACCTTAGACTACATACTGAAATCAATCATCTTGGCTAAAAGTCAACCCATGTTATAAGCGAACGGTCAAAGTCAAAGTCAATAGCCCATAATGTCAATTATTTAGCCTCACGTTATGACCAGCCCTTGATCACGTCGTGAGAGCTCACTCTGTCCGATTCCAACTCATCTCAACTCAACTCAGCCAACGCAGACATGAAAAGTCACTGGAGTTGATCTCACGTCGTGAGTAGCCTCCTCTTACGTCCTGAGCATTATCTGAAGCTAAAAATCCAACAATTTAAGTCCTTAGTACATTAAGCCTTTTACCCTAATTTTCTAGAAGGCCTTATGACTCAATAATACACTTAAAAGTCGATGCTTTATAAGCATGTATGTCTAATACATGTCTAGATCTCATTTGGGACCAATATTGAATAAAAGATCATCCAACTTTCATGCATGGTTCCAAAACCTAACCACTCATTAGATCTGAACTTCATAGCACTCTAAGGACCTTTATAACCCATAAAGTTGCCAACTTTATGGTTTCTATTCATTCAAACTTGCTCAACCAAGGAGAAAAGTGGGACAAAACTTAGATCTAGCCACAAACAACAATAAAGGTGGAAGCTTTGACACTTACAAGGATCCAGAAACGATATGAGCTGATGATGATTCCTTGCAAACCTCTTCAAAATATCACCTTCTTCTTCAAACGAAGAAAGGATCCAAAATGACCAAGAATCAAGCAAGGGATAGAGGATAGGGTTTTCTGAGGTGAAAGAGGATTTGGAGATTGATAATGAACCCTAAAATAGGTTTAGAGACGCTTAAATATGAAGGAAACCCTAAAAGTTCATGGGCTTGGGTTGCATAAGTTCTCACGTCGTGAGCCTCTATGTCTCACGTCGTGAGACCAGTTCCGAAGAAATAATTTCATATAAACCTATCTCATGTCGCGAGCCTTTATGTCTCACGTCGTGAGGCTCGTTTTTTTTTTTTCCAAAATCCAACTTTTTGACTCCTTAAAACCCTAATTCGACTCATCCAAGAAAACGGCTGTTACAGTGAAAATTGTGGTTTAAAATACGAAATTGAGAGTTTATTTGTGAAAATTTTTAGAATAATAATAACTTTTAAAGTTCCGGGTGTTAAACCGTTAGAAGTCTTAAAAACCATTTCCATAGCCAAAAAAAAAACTTAATATTAAGTTTTTTAAATGACCAACTCACATATTCACTATTCTATTCTTAAATCTACCATTTCGTCCATGACGAGACTTGGTTGAGGTATATTGTTCCGTCAATTTCTGATACCATTAAGTCACATTTGGTAAAAAAAAAATGCTTAATATTATATTTTACCTACGAAATTAATAAAAAAAAAATGAATTTCACACCTGCAAAATCCTCCGATCAATCTATGAAATCCTTTGAAAATTTGTGAGAAATCTATTTTTTGTTATTTTCAATGGTCAAAACTAGAATATTAAGCTTTTTTTCATTATGAAAATGGTTTTTAAACACTTGTAACAAAAACTTCAATATATATATATATATATTAAATTTTATAGGTAAACTTTTATTTTCATAATTAAAACATGGATTTTCACAGATGCTATCTGTAAAAAAATAAATTCAAATATAATTTTGGAAACGATGTGTTTCAAAGATTTTCACAATGTTATATGTGAAAATCATGGCTATTTTGGTATAGTTGCTAATTTTTGCTTAAATCTTGAAAAACAGATAATAAGCTTAGCTTGATTTGTCTTTTTAACCGGTTTGAAGATATTTTATGCATGGAATAAAAAAATCCCTTAAGAATTATTAAAAGTTTAAAACCCATATAGAGTAAGAATATTTGTCATTCAGTTTAAGTTAAATTTTAAAAAAGAAACACTACTAATACATGAACCCCAAATCTGCTGTTACATACAAACATCCTAACCAACAAGACTACAAACATTTGTTGTAATTAAAATATGCCATGAGGTTGGCAGTTTGATACTCGCATTACTTTATAATGTAACTAAATTTTGGAAAATGAAACACCATTCTTTTGTGTGCATAGATTCTTTTTGCCACCTTTCCTATTTCTAATGTTGCCCTATTAAGATTTAACACCTTATGATTATAGTTAATAACATGTATAAAAGTAGTGGATTTCAACTTCATGGGTGTTTAAGTGAACTTTACATAAAGCAAAAATTGCTTTTTCAGTGATGGTGGTAAAGTTAATATGCAAGTCACATTTATTATCAATTTATAGAACTGTCTTGGGTAAAAATAGTAATTGGGCCACTTATATTATAGTAGTTAAATGTTTGTTTCATTATTTTTGAAACAAGGAATTTAATGATTAATAATCCAATTAGATATGAAAAGTAGCTATCATCCTTTCTTTCTGTAGGAATCATCCTCCATATTAGGAAAAGGAAACTAACAATTCAAGATCTTCTAAACTAACATTTATTATTGTTTCTTTCAAAAAAAAAAATATTATTGTTGTCCAATACGTCAATTTTTCAAATCCTGGTCAAGAAAATAACAATTTAGTGAGGCTGAATATGTGTATGTAGTTCGGAAAAAAAAAAAAAAAAAAAAAAAAAAAAAACAAGCATGCATGCGATTTCATTTTGTTAACACTGATAAGTAGAACCAAGAAACAGACAATCAGCAATCAGCAGTAACATTTGTCAACTGTAACAACCTTAACACATTATAAGATAAGTAGTTAAGTACTACTACTGGTTTTGTCTATGTTGTTGAAAGTTGGCATGGTTCTGTTGGGGATTCTGCTGCATAGGTACCATACCAGGTTGTTGTTGTAAATTCTGTGTGTTTTGTTGCATGTTCCCAAAGCCACCTTGCTGCTGTTGTTGTTGTTGCTGTTGCTGTTGCTGTATAGGCATCATGCTACCAGGATTCCCTCCCATATTAAACACTGTCATCCAAATGAAAACCCCATCATTATAATTTATTCATACACAACAAAAATAACCTAACTTCAAACAAAAACTATGCCCCTACCCTGATCGCTCAAATTTTGAGCTCCAAGAGTCCGGTTGCCACCCGATAATCCAAACTGAAAATTACAAAAAAAAAAAAAAAAAAAATTGACAAAATAATACAAATTTGTAAATTAAGCTATAAAAAAACCAACCTGCATCCGAGGTAAAATTGATTGTGATGGCATCATACCCGTCATATTCGACATCTAACATTACAAAACACACAAAACCAGCATCAGTTAGTCACCAAAATATGTAACACCAAATGACCACCTTTTCAATATTTATCACAAAACGACAACCTATTTCATGAAGAAAAAAAAAAAAGGTTCCCTAGTTGTTAAATTAAAATACCCTTGGTCACTTTTGTGATCACTTCACAAAGTTAATGAGAATTGAAAATGTAACAGATGAGGAAAGTACAACTGACCATTTGGTTATTTGGTGTAGCTTGTGCAGCATTGAACAATGCAGTGTTGGCAGTGGTAGACATTTGGTTTAAATGACGACCTAATTGGTTTCCTTGGTTTAGTTGACTTTGTGCAATCCCATGTTGAATGCCTCCAGAAGGTAACTGTCTACCCTGAAATTGCTGCCCACCCAATGACTGAGAAAACGCCATTTGATTTTGACCATGTAACTAACACCACATAATAACAAATTAATATTAACTACACTGAAACAAAATACTAAAAACATCAACCGAAAAAACATGATAATATCCAATCACCTGATACTTCTGTTGACCTTGCAAATCATGCAGCTGTGACAATTGATTCTGGACATATCAAATAATTACAATAACATTACACATTATCTGAATTCTAATAATATATATATATATATATATATATATATATATATATATATATATATATATTGTACAGCTACAACAATATCCATACATACCTGTGCTAATCCAGTCATTGGATTTTGCCTGAGTGATTGAGCAAGCATTTGCTGCTGATGTTGTGGTAACTGCTGCATCAATCTTTGTCTTTGTTGTTGTTGTTGTTGTTGATGTTGTTGTTGCTGCTGTTGTTGTTGAGTTTGTTGTTGTGGGGAAGGTGTGTTCATCATGTTTCCAGATCTTGGTGAGTTTGCATATGGTAAAGGGGATGCTGTTGTGTTATCAAAAGATGATGCCCCAGTGGGACCCGAAGGTGATGCAGCTGCTCTTCCCATGAGTTGTGAGCCAGAAGCCTGCAACAATGCTCCTTGACTGTTTACAGTGTTTGAAGACATTGGAGGGGTGTTCTTCATGTACATTCCTGTGAAAAAAAGACAAAACCATATTATTGTTACAAGATGAACATTTATTGATCTTTGATTTCTTTTCTTTTTTTTTTAAGGATATTAATATACCGGATGACTCGGAAATGGTCTGTATGCCATCATTTACTGGGAGAACATCCACTAGATGAGCTGGAAGTGATGATGTGATCTGTCTTTGGTCCATGGGTATGCGTAAACCTTGACCATGGTTAACAGCATGTCTAAGTAAATTTTCTTGTTCTTGAATCTTTGCAGCTTGAGCTTTATCTAGAGTTAAGATATTGGTGGGCCCTTGGCGAGTGCCAAAGTAGGTTTTTCTAGTGTCAGCAATGACTTTTTCAGCGCTTTCACAAGCTGCTCCAATCATGTCAATTCTAGCCTACAAAAAATGGTGCATATGTAAAGGTTTCAGGAAATATAAGGTGATTGATCACACTTGTGCAGGATTTAATACCTTTAACTTTTCAATCTGTGAGGGTACAGAGAGATTTTGCATTGCGTATAGTAACTGCTCTCGTTTGGAATTGTCATCTGCTTCTATCTCAGGTAATAGCTTTGATGAAATCATAACAGGCAAAACTACAATGGAAGTAAAGATCATTAGTTGTATCTTCAATTTGAGGTGTAAAAGCATTGTAGGAATATTTTCAGATGAGGAAGAAGGTTTGCAAGTTCTTACTTCCAGCATTTTCACCATTGACATTCTTTGGATGGACAACAAATGCCTTTGAAACCTTCTTAATGTCTTCGACAATGTTATAGAGCTCAAGGTTTACCATAGAAAATTGACCCAATACATCTTGCCTGGTGCACCCGAAAAAAATGAGAGCAATTCTTTTTTAAATGTTAACGATTGACATCGTTCTAAGTTCAGAAGCATTGCTAGATTCAACGAAATTAATATTACAATGCGCGGATTCGAAATATTTGTTAATTGGGGAAACTAACCACTTGGGTACGGAATTGGTGCGGGCAATGAGTTCGAAATCTTCAAGGATGCGAGTGATGGCTTTATAAAGGCTCAAGGCTCTGGTCTTGACGGATTCTAGGTTAAGTTGCTGCTGTACGGCAGGGTTCAGCCTCTCCTTCGCCACCGCTTGCTGCTGTGGTTGTTCTTGTTGCTGCTGTGGCTGCCCTTGACCTATGCCCATCGGACCATCCATTGCCTGCACAACTCGGAGCACAAGGAGCTGATTTCGGTTAAACGATTTCAAAGATGCGAAATTCACAGAGCTGATTTAAGATTGACGTTTGGTTTTAGTTCGAGTATTTCATTAACTTTTCCGGGTTTTTTTAGGACGATTAAAAAAAATGGAATATGATAGTAATTTTTTTTTTGGTAGTAATTTTATTATTATTATTATTTTTTTTTTTTTGTAACAAATCATGTTCATATATAAACATTATGATTTGTTGTAGCTGGTTACATCCCATCATAATAGTTATGTGATCATTTTCAACAAGTCCGTTATCTACACAAAACGAAAAGTAAGAGTAATTACACGAATAGTCATTATGGTTTGGAAGAATTTGTGTGTTTAGTCTCTAACTTTTTTTTAACTCGGATGGTCCCTACTGTTTATTTTTGTTGTATGTTTGGTTTTTGTCTTACTTAAAATGACTATTGTGGCCTTACTAATTACACAAATCGTCTCTCGTGTACGTGTCAAAATGCACGTTTAGTCCCTATTTTCAAAAATTAACCTGAATCATCCCTTGTATAGTTAAAAGTTACACATGTCGTCCCTCATTAGTTTAAATTTGCATGTTTCATCGCTTGCGAGCCATGAAATGACTATTCTACCCTTTTTATTCTTTTTTTGAATTATTGTTTTTTCTTACAGTTATTTGCCAGCCATGAAAATTTCATAGACCCCACATATCTATATCTCCCCACCCTAAACATTGAGAAATTTAATCTGGATCTCACCGATCACCATCACATCTCCTATCCTCCCCAACTTTTATTTACTTTCTATCTTTAGTGACATCGATGGCTTCACCATCCATTTTTTTTCGGTGCTTCAACTTTGACAAACCAACAACACAAAAGATGGAAAGGAAATAGAAGTTGTGATGCATTGGGTTGTGGTGGTGGAAAATTCGATGAAGAGACCGTAGGTTGTGATTTTGGTTCGACAGAGTTGATGGACCGAGGAAAAAAAAAATTGGAAACAAGATTTTTAAAGGTATTGTGAACTCTGAACTTCGAATACCACAGGGAGATATCTGTTAAAAAAATCAAAAACGAGGGCAGGAGTAAGATTAACCTCCATTTTAATTTCGGGGATGGAGATAGGAGCAGACAGTCCCGTCCCAAACCTCCATGGGTGTCGATAATATATTATATATTATATATAAACGTATGTATATATTAATTATATAAATATAATAAATAATAAAAATGATTTAGAATTTTCAAAATTCAACAAAAATCATGTTTTTAAGTTGTTGGTATAACGTTTTTGAGATTGTATAAGATTTTTGTTTTTAATATGTAACCTTATGTTATAAATAACTATTTAACCTAAAAAATAGTTTCTTTAAGCCCCAAAAAACAACTTGTTTTAGCCCAATAAAAAAGATAGTTCGAAATCAATCTAGGGCAGGGGTGAGGAGGATGAAAATTTCTGGGCAGGGAAATAGGAAAATTCTAGGGGTGGGGACGGGGGATGCAACCCCCATCATGTTTGCCCCCGTTGACATCCTTATACTAAATCAGTGCGTACCCGAGAATCTTAAATACTGAAATGGGTGAAAACAATAACACCAACCGAACTAACATTAGTGGTACGGATTTTTGGTACTAGCACCAATACCGACAATAACGAATCCTGAATTTCATAATTTTAGAGTACTGATTACAGTCTTATTTATTTAAATTTGGTATCCGTATCGATACGTGATCAAAATTTGGTATTAAATGCTTATCCGTAATAATATTCCCAGCTTCGTTTGAAAATGGACAAAAAATAATCCAATAAAAAAAATACATATCATATTATTGTATTATTTTTGTATAATCTTATAATAACAGTAATTCTATAGTATTTTTCTTTTTCTTATCTAGATAATCTACATCAGGCATGGATTATTTTCCTGATTTATTTTTACTGTAATTTTATAGTATTTTCTATGTCAATTATATTCTATATATATAATCAAGATCGGATATAAAATATAAAATATTATATTACTGTATTCTTATTTGTAAGGTTATTATATTCTTATTGAAATGATATTATAATATTATCACAATTTCTTTGTCTGATCCAGATCAAACAAAGAGTATTATTTACTATAATTTAATTGCATTCTCTCTATATTTTTATTGTAATGTAATTGCATTCCTACGTAATTTTATTGTATTTTTTTTTGTTTAATCCAAAAACTTTGGATATTATTTTACTATAATATTATTGTATTCGTTCTACTAGAGCAAAATAATATCATTGCATTTTATCTGTTTTAGATCAGTATCCTATTTTATTTTCGACAAAGATATTGAAAAGTCGTTTTATTTTGAAAAAACCTTTCCATCTGGATGATCTTTTTTTACCGGCTAAAATCGCAAATGTGTAAAAATTTATCGGGGTTTTTTTGGTTAAAAAAATCATAACTTTTTCATCAGTAAGACTAAAGTTTTTTAACTTTAAAGTTTCAGGGTTTTACAAGAGATTTTTCTTTTCAGAGGTGATAAGCATGTTATAATACTAGTAATATTTGTCATGTTATAATACTAGAAATATTTTTCACGACATTTCTCTCGAGTCACATTCATTGATGAATGGTCCCCTATAAACATGCTCAATCTCAATGTACTACTTAGAAGCTTCAACTTAACATCCAATTTAAAGGTCGTTCTTCATAAAAGCAATGTATATGGTGTTGGTGTCGATTCCTCGAAGATGACTAAATTTGCTTGCATTGTTAGATGTGAGCATGCTTTGTTCCCCTTTTTATTATGGAATAAGCTTTTTATGCCCTTGAATTTGTTCAAAAATTTCTTAATCAATCAATGAATTAAGGTTGAAGATCACTCATCAATTGCGGTGGTTTGGGATTTGAAAACACCAATGCGAGCGGGATTGGAAGCTAGATTATTGGATGATTTGTCACAATTCTCACATGGTGTTTTTTTTATCGGGTATAAGGTTGAAGATCCTTCTGAGTATTCAGCTAAATCTCTTAGGCATTTCCAACCCATCTTTGGTGTAAATGACAACATTAGGCATCTCCAACCCAACTTTAACTTTTACATCAAAAATTGAGTTATAGATAGTATTATATTATATTTGGAGCAACACTATTTATTCACATTATATAATAGAGTTTAAGTTGGTGGCGTTTTCATGGGAAAATCAAGTTTCAGGGTTATCCAAGGGTTTTAAACCAAGTGTTGATGAGAAAATCAATCCCAATTTATTTATATAATTCTTATTGATTCCTTTCCAGAGACAATATTATTTTGTCCCTACATGATAAAGACATGAGGATCTATAAATGAGGTTTAAAGTTCAAAGTCAAACATCACCTTCTTTAAAACCATTAATTTGAATTGTTATTTTAAAACCATATTATTAATTTAATTTAATTGTTTTTTTATTAACATCAGTCAAACTAGCAAAACAAAATCCTAATCCAAATAACAACAAACACAAAACCACAAACCATTTTGCAAATCAGGATCTTTGTTACTTGTGCACAGTGTAAACACCACCTCTTTTTATCAACTTCCACAGTGCTGCTTTGGCTTCCTCCACTGTTCTAATCCCTTGCCATTCTTCAAATACCAACCTCTGTATGTTAAACTGCAAAGACACAGAGACAAAGTTAAGCATCACGGATTCCAAAGGAGTTGGAGTCAAATGAACGGAACTAAATTCCAACAGATTCCAATTCCTTTGACCGATTCCATTCCTACCTGAGCACCTTGACGAACACGAATATCTGTCCCCTTGCTATCAATCGATATCAAAGAAACATCATCCACCTCACTCTCCAATGAGAGTAACTCTCTCAAGGGCTTGGAAAACATTACATTCAGCTCCTGTCACCATCATTAATTCAGATATAAAATTATAAAAACAATAGTTATTGAAATAAAAATAAAAATAAATGCAAATCCTCACCTTCAGGTTCTGCTCACTGCCATCAACAGCAATATCATCTGGTTGAAGACCTTCATATTCCTTCACATTAACCCAAGCAACAGTCCCAAAACCTCCGATAAAGTATATATCTCTGTTTCAAACAAAGGGATAATGTCAGCCAATGGTTGACCGGTTTGACCACTACCATGCTGACGTGGCAGACACGAAATAATCTTATCTTATTTGTAATAGACAAACCTTATATTCTGCATCCTAAAGTAGTAGAAGTTTCCCCACTGTTGTAAAGGTGCTTCTTGGTGTTTTGCTACATACTGCTTATGTGCCCATTCCTGAGGTAAATAACAACAATTCATACATAAGAAATAAGATAACAGTAAAAAAGTTGATAAATTTGACAAAGAATAATGAATAATCACCTGCTGATCTTCTGGAAGGGGGAAAACATCACCAAAAATTGTAACCCTAGCATTTGACAAGCCACTCCATCCAGGAATCTACAAAGAGAACCACTAGTAAAAGCTATATTTGCGCAAGTGATACAAGATTATTAAAGTTTATTAACATGTGCAACTGCAACAAAAGAATACTAACCTGAACCACTAATGTACACCTTGGATTGGCTAATAGATTCCGTGTGTGCATACCCAACTGTGAGAAAGAAAATATTGGATCTAAAAGTTCAACATGAAAAAGAGATGTCAGAATCAGAATATATAGAACATAATCAATCATCAAACACTCACGTCCCATTGCATCTGATACAAAATCCACCAGTGAACCAAATGGGTATCCTTCACTTCGTTGGTGCATACATGACATTACAGTAGACATGTGAGCAAACCTAGCCTTAAATGGTATATATAATATGGTGAAAAACATCAGAACTGAACTTTGAAGTTAAACATGTGATAATAAGTCAACGTATGAGGTTATATATATGTTTATATACCTGTTCCATCAGATTGCGAACTGCTAGAGGTGGTCTAGGTAAGTCATGAACAGAGGTTGCACTCTGCACTCCCCCAGATATTGGGGTTCTGAAAAGGCTAGCTCTTTTGTCTGTATGAGATGAGGCAACATCGGATTTCTTATTCAACTCCTCTTTGCTATAGGTTTCACTAGAAGCACCCTTCATGATATGAAATATTTCATCATAAGTTTAAAACATAGCTCAACTAGTCATTTGATAAACTACATTACATCAGATTTTGTGATGTTTTCCTTGATTTATGCTTCTCATATGTTCGCTCGTTGTTTGAATTGCTTAATTCACAAAGCATAAAAAATAATAACAATAATAGGGATACTATTCACTTTTGCATGCATCAACAGTCACTTTGAGGAGTTGGACAAAGCCCTAAATTTGCACTGTGCCTGGTTTCTTTAGAGGAATAGTCTTAGATTTTGTTCATTTTAAGTTAGTTCTTGATAATTACGATCTTCGAAGCTCAAATTTGGCAGGTATGACCTTAAGAAGTCAAATTGCTTGTGGATTATAGATGAAATCGGTATCATATGAGCATTTACACCAGTAAGTTAAAAATAAAACACGGGATGCGTGACATGCAGATACTAGTTGAGGTTTTCTACAGATACCAAACTGTTACAAGTGAATAGAAAAAGCAGAGAAAGCAAAAATAAGTTGTACCGAATAGGAAGAAGAGGAAGCTTCTTGAGAAACAAAATTTAATACATTATGAAAAGGTATCTGTTGATCATCTTCGCCGTCAGCTGAAAGTTGACGAGAAGCAGCGGCCACAAGCGTAGTTTTAGGCGAAGACAAGCTAATTCGGAGAGAAGCAGCAGGCTGAATGGAATGTGAGTCTGGAAAAGTAGGAAGGAATACAGAGGTTGAAAGAGCTTCCATTGTTCGATTGTGATGAATAGGGATTTTGAGAGAGGAATCCGGCAGCCGCGAAAAGATAGTGAAATTGCAAAAAGCTTGGCCTTTCGGCGTTATAATTATTAAATACTTACACGCTCGCGAGTTAGGAAAGAATAGAAAGAAAATCGATAGTAAAGAGACAAAGCAAAAGAGATTGATACTCTTGAGTTCAAGAAAATTGAAGGATCATTTTCCATCTTAATTTTTTTTTTCATTTGAGAGAATTTGAAAAGAAAGAATAAAATATTTAATTTTTCTTTCATTTTTCTCCAACTCGAAAAACAAAAGATAAATTTATTTTTCTTTTTTTTTTCTTCTTTTCTCTCCTTACTTTTTTTTCTATTTTCTTCTTTTTGTTGCTTCAACTCAGGAGCTGGGTGTTACATTAGACTGGAATGAGTAGGAGGGATGGTTCCCTCACTTTTGGTGGGCCATACCATTCTTTCCCTCACTCTCATTTCCCTCACCTAAAAGCCAATGAGTATGGATGTAAGTGAGCCGAGCTACTCGCGAGCTACTCGGGATCGACTCGCTAAAAGCTCGACTCGAGATCGAATTAAACGAGCCCGAGCCGAGCTCGAGCCCAAATATGAGGCTCGTTTATTAAACGAGCTCGAGCCGAGCTTCAGCTAGTGGGCTCGCGAGCCTAAAAGAACCTAAACGAGCATATATATATATATATATATATATATATATATATATATATATATATATATATATATATATATATATATATATATATATATATATATATATATATATATATATATAGGGAAAAGTGAATATACCCTTAAGGGTATATAAGCTTATGTACCCAAACTCACTATATTACGTCATTTTGTATCATATATATACATTGTAATTGTTCAATGTTCTTCTAATTCAACTTCTAACTTGATTTACTTCGAAGATATTTATAAATTTCACATTTATTGTCCTCTTACATAATTTTCATTTTTAACTATATATAGCCTAGTAATGTTCGACAAAAAGATGTAATGTAAGAGGAAGATAATGGAGAAATATTGGAAATGTTGAACGTAAATCAAGTTAGGGGTTGAAGTTTAAGAACATTATAATGAATATATGAAACAAAACATTGTATTATGGTGGGTTTGGGTACCTAAGCTTATATACCCTTAAGGGTATATTCACTTTTCCCATATATATATATATATATATATATATATATATATATATATATATATATATATATATATATATATGTATGTGTGTGTGAGAGAGAGTGTGTGTGTGTGTGTGTGTGTATATATATATATATAGGCTTGTATAAGCTTGTTTAGGCTCGCGAGCTCACTAAATTGTTCACGAGCCGAGCTCGAGCTTAATTTTAAGGCTCGAATCGAGCTCGAGCTCGAGCTTCTTCAAAATTAAACGAGCCGAGCTCGAGCTTGGTTAGGCTCAGGCTCGGCTCGGCTCGTTTACACCCCTACCAACGAGTGGGTGGGAAGCCTTTCCCTCAACTTTTTTTTTTCTATAAATAAAATTAATTTTTTTGTTATGAATTATAATTTTTAAATTAATATTAAACATAAAACTTAATTAAAAATCAAAAGTATTTCATAATTAAAATAAAACTTACATTAAACCTAAAATATAAAAAGATAGAAAATTTAAAAAAAAAAAAAAAAAAAAAAAAAAAAAAAAAAAACACACACACACACACACACATAAACTAAAAATCAAACAAACCACCAACTACCTTCGGAAAATATTTTTTTCAAAATTTTTTCCCTCTTCTTCATTACGAGCTCGAGAGCCGGTCCCGAGAGATGATCGACGTTTTCCATCAAAAACTTCATGTCTTCCATTTCTTGTCTCTCCGCCCGCTCCTTTTTCCTTGTTTCTTCTTTTTCTTTGTCGAAAGTCAAACGTTCGGAGAAATTAAGATTATATCGATCAAACGACGATGTTATCTTCCGCATTTCCTCAATGTCCACGCTGAAATCAGATGCACTCGAAGAAGTCCATTTTCCCTTTCTCTTCGCTTTGTCCCTACCCATTGGGCGGACAATTTCTTCTAGCTTGAGTTCGTCGTCCTAATTTAAATCTAGACCGACCCGAGCATCGGAGGAGGTTGTGTAACCACTAGAGCCCGTTTTCGTTCGCTTTGATTGTTGGACTCCAAAAATAAAATCTCGCTCGTATGTTATCCACCTAGGACTTCGGACCAATAATTTCCAACAATCGTGCCACTTGAATGAGTTTCCGACTTCCTCAAGGTAAAATTGCAACGCTTCTTGAAGTATTTCTTCGTTGCCTTGGCCGCTTTTTCGTTGGGTTTTTAGGTTGTTGTACAACTCGTTAATTTTTGAAACCCCCTTGTTATTTCTCGAAACTTTGAGTTAAGTTGATGTTTTTAGTACGGTAGTCGTCACATTTTCCTAGCTCCTCTCGAAATCGTTCTAATATGCGAAACCAAAAATGTTCTCCCGGTTGTGCGTTTCCCTGAATTGAATCTTCAGAAATATCAACCTATGTTTTGACCAAAACTAGCTCTTCGTGTGGAACCCATAGTGTCGGCTTTGTCTTCCCGGTTATGCGACACCCTCGCGCACTTGTTTTTTTCCTTTACGTCTTTGTGGTGGTGGTGTTGGTTGAGTTCGAAAACCATGTCTTCTTCTTCCGTGTCATCCAATTCATCGACAAGTTGGTGGTGGTGTTGAGTTTGGGTTTGAGTTTCAGTTTCAGTTTGAGTTTAGCGTTGAGATTGATTTGGCGATTGTTGATCCGGAAACACAACAAAGTTTGAAAGCATTTGCGACAGAACATTTGGAACTTGCATCGGGTAATATTGGCCAACATTTTGGTATTGAAATTCTAGTGGCGATTGAATGGGAGAATCGAGTTGGAGGCGGTAAACTCCTTGTTGTGATGAATCGATAGCAAAAATGTTGCGATGAGGGATTTTTATACTGGAACCATGACTTTTTTTCCGTCGATCGGAACTTTGGGGTTTGTTTGTCGGGATTCTTTTTTTTTTTTTTGATATGAAGTAGAGAGTATAGAGAATAGTTTGATACATTTATAAGTTATGTGTATGTATTTATAGTAGTTGTAAAAGGATTTAAAAAAAAAAAAAAAAAAAAAAAAAAAAAAAGTAATCGTTAACAACCACAGGAAAAAAAATGAAAAAAAAAAAAATCATTTTTTTAGCGTTGTATACAACGGTATTTTTTCAAAAAAATAAATAAATAAATAAATGGACCAATCACAGCAGGAGAGAGAGAGAGCGGGACTCTCTCCCCCCGGTTGCTTCCCGCGGTTCCTTTCCCGCACCCATGGTTCGGTGTGCGCAGGTACGGGATCGGTTCCTCGCCCTTCCCTCACCCACTCCGTCCGGCCTTATGAAAAATATTTAAAAGGCAATATATTATCATGTTTTATGTATTTAGTATTTTTTTTAATTGATTTACCAATTAGTTTTATAACCATAGAAATCAAATGATTATAAAATTAATTAAATTTTTATAACAAAAATTTATAATTATTAAAAAATAAATAATTTTAAACAAATTATTAATTAAGAAATAAAAAAAAAATTAAGTTAATTATAACTTCAAAATTAACATATAACTAGTGAAGAATGTTAGAATAGTAGAATGTCATATTTGACCCAAAAAAATGTGTTAACAAACTCTTAACTGTTGTTTTTGAGATTTCTTGGCATGTATAATGCTAAAAATATATATAAAACAATTCTTGCACTGCATCTTTGAAGTTTAAGAAACAAAGCACGATCTATGTATAACTATAGTCCCAAAATTCTAGCATGTGAAAAAGAAAATTGTGCAACACTTGAAGTCGCTCCAAACCCAAGGGTAAAATTCAGAAATGTTTTTATACTTCCGCCTTCTCCCGTATACCTATATGTAAGAGAGGATACTACTTTTTCTTGACCAAGGTAATTCTAAAATTAAAGCCATCCAATGCCAGTTTTGCAAGCAAATAACTTGATGCATGTCAACCTTCCATAAAATTAGGCGATAAAGCATACATATTTCCTGCAATCTAAGAGATATCAACTGAATATATCATTCTTTGCCCACAAATGAAAAAAAAAAAAAAAGAATAAAAAAAATAGAAGGCCAGTAAAATATGTAAACTGAATCTATCATTCAAACCCGAAAGTAATCTCATAATGCAACTATAGTTGTGGAACTATGATGATATTGGCCTTTGATTTATATCTATTATTATTGGGTTTACCTAAGCTGTAGTAACAAACAAACAAACATATGTCATGTTAATCGACAGAAACATCACAAAGAAAATCAATAGAATCATAGAATCACATAACCAAATTAGGAAATTATGTTATTTATATATGGGTTTAGTTTGATTATATAGGTATTATTGTCAAACAAACATTAGTGATCTTTCTGATAAGTGTAGGATAAAGTCATAGAACAAAAGATAGAAAGCAGACCCTAAAAGCAAGATTTCTCTTTGCAGGAAAATAATTTGGGAAGGAATCAGAGATTGGTGGTTTTGATTACACCTCCTTCAAAATTGTAGTTGGATTAAGAAATTCCATTTCATCATCTGATGTGTACCGCATAGCACTCGGGTGAACTATAATAAAACCAAAAAACATTATGAGCAAAGGGTAAATCAGTAAGTGATACAAAGATTGACCTCTTTTTGTTTCCATGTCAAGTTCGTTCCTTCACAACCACACAAAAAAACTCATAAACTCATTCCCAATCAAACTCTATATGAAAAAATCAAATAGTTTTCAATAATTTGAAGAAAAATTTATGCATATTCATACCTAAATTAAATCGATATGGCTGCAGCTCTTTGATCTTCACCTTCATAAACACCATCCTGTTTCATTAGCTTACATTAGATCCATATATTTCTTTTTATTTCATTTGCATATATTGTGTGAATTCTGATATAAAAGATTTGGGTTTTAATCTACCTTCATGTTACCATAGGAGATGCAAGAGTATGCGTGTAATCTTCTGATTAGTTTGGATTAAAATAAACAAATTTGGAGTGGTTTATAGTTTTAATGAGATGATTAATTCTCTGAATATCCACTGGTACTCATGGGAGAATCAAACAATTTACGATTTAGGTAGTACAAACCTAAAGGGTTTTGTTCGTAACCCCATACCTGTATTGGAGACCATACTTTGGCAAGGCGAGCCCTAATTTCTTCTAGATCCTCATCATCAACACCATCATCCTACAAATCCAAATCAAAAGTTAATCTCTTAAAGAAAGATTAAAACAGGGGGTATACCTGAGCCGGGGTGGCAGGTTCCTTCAGCCATCCCTTCCTGGCGGCTTCTAGAAGCTGAGCAGCGATCTCACCAGCTATGGAGGTTAACACCTTATCAGCCTCTTCTTCAATCTCATCTTCCATGTAATCTGTATCCAATGCAGAATCAACAACACCATTCACCATTTCTTCAATCACTCATGCTTTGATCATTTCTTTGTTGAATTCTTGCATTGTGACAGCCATTTGTGGAGAGTTCATTAGGTCGTTAACAATCTTCATGACTTAAGCACTTTTTTATAAATGCCCTGATGTTTGAGCAACGGCTGCAAAATCCCAACGCTTAGAAATTAATAATGTAATAGGTAATTCGTGATGATAATTGATAAAAGAAAGTAATTATCACATAGCAACAGTTTCTTCTAGATGCATTGATATGGAATTTAAAGAGCATAAAAACGAACCGGAAGACGCAAATTCGAGTAGTCGCATTGCCAATTCGACATAAAACTATTAGGGCATGAAGACCATAGAAGAATCAACAAAGACATCGACGGAAGATTCAATCGAACTGGTGGAGGTTGAGGCAGATGATGTGTCATCGACTCCTGCTTCTGTGGTGGACGTAACTCGCCGGAGTCATAATCTTTGTATTGACGGTGGAGGGAATAACTTCTAGGAGTGGTAGAAGATTGACAGTGGATGGAGAAGTACCTTGGTCATGTACTGTGTGGAAGGAGGAAAAAGGAAGGAGTTGTTCAACAACTAAATATGTATAGGTA